TCTGTTGCTAATTGAAATTGTATTTACAAATCCCCTAAGTAATTGTACAGCTCTGAAGTGACGTTATGGAAAGAGATCGCTTTGTTAACTTGTATATTCTTAATTCCATACAGACTGACCTATCCTTACTGAATATTACAAATAGTTACCACCATTACTCTGAGAAGCTATAAAATGTATAGAAATTAAACTATCAGTTATGTTAGCTATACGTCAGTAGCTCAGCGGTAGAATGCTCGCCAACCATGCATATGGTCCGGAGTTCGATCCCGCCCCGATGCACTTCTAAACCTCTCCAAGCTGATAATAAGATCAGTGAAGATGAAAGGTTGGGCATGGGGCTAACAACCTCATGTCGTAAAAAGAAAAGAAAATAAACTTCACTGCTACCGAAACTTCGAAACTGAAGCTTGAAGCCCCCTGTGTTCCACTGAGAACTTAAATATCAAAATATGTAAGTTGGAATTATGTTATTTTATGCTACAACTAGTTCTTAGTTGTTTTAAATACTACTCGTTATGATACTGAAGTATAAAGATCGACATAGTTATATTTACCGCATTTGCTGCATTCCCGTGTACAACAAAATAATGGTTTGATGTGAAACTATATATCCACAAAGTATTCTTTGTTGTTATGTGAAGCATGAAATTATTAAGCAGTATGTAGAGAATATCTGAGATGATGGAGTCATGCAAAAGGCGAATATTAATGAGATTAAATACAGTCCTTAATTAGGTGGACATAAAACGATGTCACCAAGCATTTGTAAATTTCCGGAGATTTTTTACATAGTCGTAAGTCAACTGGACTGAATCACTGCAGTTATTAACTTTACTTAATATCTTGTGTAGAATACATAATTAGAATTCGTGACCAATTAGGTGCTTCCAGTCAAATGTGAGGATGGATTTTCCACCGATGATATTGGTTGGTGCCACTAGCGCTAAATTCATCACAAATTCGTAGAAGTTAGAATTCATGGTCCGGGCATTGAGTCGGGTGGGTCCCAGTGACTGAATGGTATTCGAGCTTGCCTTGTAACCGAAAGGTCCTGGGTTCGAACTGGCTGTGGTGGGTGCGTACTGCCGATGATTCCCAAACTAGGATGAAATAACTGTCCAGTACTGCAGTGCTGGTTTTCAATGTTTCTCTAACTGATATCAATCCGTGGTCAAACTCGTAAAAGTAAAATAATGGTTTGATGTGAAACGATATATCCACAAAGTATTCTTTGTTGTTATGTGAAGCATGAAATTATTAAGCAGTATGTAGAGAATATCTGAGATGATCGAGTCATGCAAAAGGTGAATATTCACGATATTAAATACAGTCATTAATTTGGTTGGACATAAAACGATGTAACTAATGTAACTGCTCGCGCAGACACACGGCCAAGGGTATCTGTCGACTTTTGATTACACCAAACACCATGTTGTCCGATAGACGGGAAGCAACTTAGCCAGCTGCCGGATAGGCTCTGGCCAGTGACCTCATCAATCTTCTGTTGACTATTGCTGTAGTATTTCCACCATTAAAACCAAGTTGAATGAAGATAGGCTTCTTTTCCACTGTGGTTTCTTATGCGTTTGTATAGGGCATATTCTCGTGACTGACTCTTCAGAACAGAGTCTTGACTAGTGCTCGTTTATAGCTATTTGGACAAAATCTAGTAAAATGTAGGTATTGCCCATTCCAAGTCGGCTTTCTGTATATAGTGTCAACGAAATGAAACTTTCCATCATTTTCATGTTCCATAGTAAATTCAATATTTGTATGTACCTCGAATAATGAATAATGCGAGTAGGTAGGAAGCATGACTTTGATTGTTGCACACTACAAATGTGTCATCTAGATGTCTGGCAATAAGAAGTTGTTTCGTCGATTGCATGCTTTAACTTTCTTCTTTCACGGTTGGATATGAAGATATCTGGTAAAAATATCTTTTTAAAAATGCACTCTCTTTATATGTTAGTATGTTAAAATTGTTTCCGCACATAAACTTAATAATGTCTTTAGGCTGTAAGCAAGCAGTTGATGAGAAACCGACGAAATAAACAAAGGATGGTACCATATTATTGTTCTTTCTATGTCGGTTTCTGTAAACTGACCTCTGAAAACTATCATGTCTCCCTTCTTGGAATAAGATGTTGTTAGAATTGTCATAATACTTTTAAAACAATTAGTTCCTTTGATAAATTTGAATAAGGCATTTAGAAGACAAATTTCGCGAGATGATATCGTCATTTCGTAGTTTCTTTACAACCGCTTTACAACTAACGTGGTTAACAATAATAAAATAAAATTAACATGACAATTACTCAGTTAAATAAAAAACACAAAAGTACATACTAATGACCAATCATATTTAGATAGGTCAAGTAGTCCATAGTAGGCGAAGGTTGAAGTCTATTGTGTTTTTTTGTACACACAGTTTAGGCTGCATGTGATTAATCCAAAGTGCTTCCATCACCTTCAATAACCAACCCTGAATTAGAGTTATGTGATGAAATAATTGTGAAACAGTCATTAATATTGATTTTGTGACCTGACATTAATAAGTGTTTTGCAATGGATGATGCTGGATTTCTATTCAGATTAATGTGCATTGGGATTTTCTATATGATTTAATAGCCATTTTGGAACATGTTCTTTTCGATGACCACATTGGAACATTCTGTTGGTTCTACCCATATATAGGTGTCACCACACCTGCAGGTGAACTTGTAGATACAGTTTGAAGTAGAGTCCACAGAATTTCGTCCTTTAATCGTAGGTACAGGGATCGAAAATGTTCGGCAAATGAGAAAAAGAGATGTGGCGTAGAATGTGCGTTTGATGGCTGACCGAAGTCTTTGAGCTGTCAACTGCATAATCTGGTCACCCTTGAATGGTAGGTATAATAAAGATAGCTTTCTTTGGTACAGAAGCTGTCTTTTCTAGATGTGGTCTATCCTTACTGTGACAAGTGATAAAGTTTTCTGGATAACCATTAGCTAATAAAACTGAATGTATATGTCGAAACTCATCCATCACTGTGTCACTCGTGCATATTTTTCGGGCCCTTGAGAACAAACATTTCACTAGGGAACGTTTATACTGGATAGGAACAAAACTGGTAAAATGAAAATATTGTCAACTCCATGTCTGTTTACGAAAAATAGATCGCTGAATCGTTCCATCATCTCTCCTGGTCATAGTAATATCCAGGAAACCGAGTTTGTTATTCGATTCGAGTTCGGAAGTCACTCGGATATTTGGATGAATATGATTAAATAGGGTAATAAAGTTTTCAATAGATTTACTATTATTACCAATAATGAGAGTATCATCTACATAACTTTTATATAGCATAAATTCTCCAAGCATACCTTGCATTTGTTTTTCCAATTTCGACATGAAAATATCTGCTAACAGGGGCCCAAGAGGGTTCTCCATCGCAACACCATCGATTTGTTTGTATGCCTTTTCTTGGAAGGTGAATCTAATATTTTCTGTACACATTAAGATGATGTCTCTGATGTAAGTGACAGGAATAGGTAAGTTTATCCTATTGCTTGTGATGTAATCGCAAATGAAATCAACAGTTTCATGGATAGGAACATTGGTGAATAAAGATTCTATATCAATTGAACACATAACGTTTCCCTTAATGTTCAAGGTGTCTAGCATATTTGTCAGATAATACTTTTAGCTGTAGTGTATTTTAGAATCAGTAATTTCAACGTTTAAAGTAAAACCTGAGATTCACACTTTAAATTCCAACGACTACGCATATGAAATAGTTTACATTACTTCCCTTAGAAATTTCTCATCACTAAACTACACAGAGGTAGTACTTTCTTATTCGCTGCTTAACAATTTTTAATTGGAATTTTTACTTACTCCTACTTCATGTAGGCTAAATTTAGATAAATTCTTCCAACCTTTAATTTTGCACGACACATCAGCGCTTATTATACATTCTTCACATTTAACGATTTACTTAATAATAATAATAATTTGCTTTATTCCAAAACAGTACTTGTGATACAGAATGGAATTCTCAGCATTTTACTATAGTATTGCATCCAGTTAGTACATTATCAATAAATAGAATTCTACATAGATTAAGGAAATCTCAATTCATTATGACAACAACATATTGGCATGTCGGTAGCAAAGCCAAAGTTGAACAGTGTTTGAAGGTGTTAGAAAAGTAGGTGCTGTCATATTTACTGGCGTAAGAGGAAGAAAGAAACAAAGCAGAACATAACGGAAAAGAGAGAAAAAAGAGAGAAAAGGAAAAGAATGAAAGAAAATGTTGTACCTATAAATGATATGAGTTGGAAAGACGAGGTCCAGTTGTTCTACTGACTATTTAATGAGTTATAGGTGTCACGCCTAATGCTTTCTTTATCACACAGAACACGAGCTAAGTAGGGTATGGTTGAGCTTTTGTACTTGCTAGTGCGAGCATATAGTTTTCTATATAGGCTTCTGGTTTTGCCTGATGAGATGCAAGGGGAGAGTTGTGAGTGAAGAGGGTGGTGTGAGTTAGATAAAATGGATTTAGCCCATTTTTCACATGAGTCCATGTGCCTGTCGACCAGAATATTAACAAGCTGGTTAAGTGGCACATTGCTTACCCTGCTGACAACCTTTAACATCCTGCGTAATATGTTATAGTCTTTCTTCAGTAGCCCGGGAAAAACTAAGGGGGAACAATAGAGAATAATAGGCAGAATGCGAGAGTTAACGAATTGTAGGAGTAAGGGTTGGGTTATACCAGAATGTTTTAACTTCTTGATGTAGAAGGAAAGACGGAATATTTTCTTAGAAATCATCAAGATATGAGACGACCAGGAGAGATCAGCAGATAGAATGACGCCTAGGTATTTAATTTCCGACTTGGTTTCTATTTCAGTGCCATCTATGTTGCACACCTCGTGAGAGCTAACCAGTTTGTTTAGGTCAGATTTATGCCTAAAGGTGATATTGACAATAAACGAAAATCAAAACGCAAAGCCTTATTTAACAAAACTCTTTTTTTGTCATAAATTACGGAATATATTTACTGAATTAATGTAACTGAAATTAATCTATGTTAGACAAATAAATCAAGTTTGATCCGTATCTGAAAGAAAAAAGAAAGAAAAACAATTTGGAAAAGAATTTCAACGGGATGTCTGGAATTGACAAAAAATTTAGAATAATAAAAGAGAAGATTTCTAGTCAAACAGGAGGATGGGAGTTGTTCACGATCAAAAACTGAAGAGAAGTAATTCTAACTTGAGCTAACTGTTGAACACTTTAAAAATGGTGTTTAGCTTCCATTGTGGGTAAAATTTATTTTGATAAAGTCTCAGAGTGTTGTTATACAGTAATATTTGCTACTGATGACCACGTTTTGAACACAATTCATTACTGCTCATAATCATATCAAGGCACTACTCACACAACTTTCCAACTTCGTTTATATAATTCCACTATTTCTAATCTCTTGATTTGATTGGTAGTAGTATTTTCAATATTTCTGGTATGAGTGATGAGTCATTCCTGTTGCACGTGTTGGGTGTAGAATCGATGAACAAGGATTCAGTAATCAACCTCTCTCTCCCTCCACACCTACTTATATCACTTTTTAGAATTTTAACCCTCTCCCACTCTCCATATTGTGTGGTTGCGCGTTAAAGCATGCATGCAGTGCAATTGCTGAGCTTTTTTCTAAATTACTTATCTTCTCGGGGTCAATCATTCTAACCTTATTAACCTTAGCTAAATTCTTATGTTCTGACAATCTGACTACTCCCGATCTACTAGTTTTACTCACCTATGTAGTTGACTTAACTCACAGTCATTGCAAGGTATTTTGTAAATTATATTATTTTGTTTAATTGTGTCAACCGACAGGTTCCTATAAACGAACGAGCTTGTCCCTGCCTGAGTGAGTTTGTTGATGTAAATACCACCCTAATTCTTGCTTTATTAAGAATCCCACATAGGGAGGGTCTCAGATGTCCCCTCCTTGTATGGTAAAACTGCTGTAGATGCCTTATATTCTCTCTTATTTATGTTATCATTATTAGTTTCACCATTATTTTTATTTTGCTTCTGACCTTTTCTCATCTTCCTGATGAATTTTATAGGATAGTTAGTTATTTAACACCAACGCATCTTCTTCTATCTGTTTTATTTCATCATTTAGGTTTTTGTTGTATTACTTAGTGCTATTGCTCGGTTTGTTAGACAGACATTAACTAAGCCTGCCTTCACAGACAGATAACGGATGAGATTAATTAAAGTCTAAATATCTATTAGCAGAATGCGTTGGCTTTTTATAAACACCGCTAGTGTACAGTTTACCTTCTTCTACTCTTTTTATGTTGTTTAACTTCATTTTTAAGCTTTATACTGAATTCCTTTAAAACTGAAGGATGAGGGACCTCATAATTCAGTGCTTTTCTAAAGCTGACTTGAATCTGAAAACAGCTACTGATCCTAGAATTCTATTTCTCTCGATTTTGAAGAAGCAATTAATGCATCTATTTTCTACTGATTATGAAATGCAGTCGAGTCCTACTGAAGAACAACTGCTATTTGAAACCACATATTACCAGGAACACCACAGTAGATTCGAAGTGTAAGTAACAAAAGACAACAAGTGACGACCGCTATATAAGTGCTGAAGTTATTTCGATAGAATATTATATTGTACAGTGTTACATACTACTTACACAGGTCAGAATCGTTAACAGTCGTAGGTATATTCAAGTGTTGGTTTGCGGGATTTGATTGGTTTTAGGATGTCATCATGAGTTGATGTTGGTTAGAGAACCATTGGAAAACCAGCTGGGAGTACTGCCAGACAGCTGGCTAGTGGTCGAGCTATATCATGAATTGGCAGAAGTTTGAGTTAACGGGAGTCGGGTCCCAGCAGCTTAACTGTCTATTAGCTCGCTCACCTTGTAACCGGAATGTTCTGGGTTCGAACCCCCCATTTATGGTTGCACACTACTGAAGAGTCCTAAAACTGGTCTGACAAAACACTGTCTTTCATCTTTTATAATGGTTCTCTAACCGATATCACCTCATGATAAGATCCTGTAATCGTAAATCCATTTGGTTTGGTTCGCAGGAAATCAAGTTTAGCCTGATAGGCATTTATTTTAAAGTGTATCATAACTGATGCATATACACCCTCTAAAGCTTAGTGTTTTGGGCCTTCTGCTGAGTCTAACAATGGTGATGTACACTAAAATTAAATGAGTAGCCATGAAACTTACCGTGTAGGCGGATTTTTTTTCAACTTATGAGCAGCAATGTATTTTCTGGAAGTGAAAATAAAGCAGAATAATAGCAACAATTACGGTCATGTTATGTCCAACAGTTTGGAAAATTAAATTTCGCCAAATTAATCTAGACAATTTGAACTATTTGTGAAATACAAAAATAGATTTTGATACTAATATCGAATGGATTAATACTCATTTAGTGGATGATTTTGGAGGAGTAAATGAAAATCTATTTAGCCTCGGCTCCCGAATTAGTGACCGACAAATTATTATCGCCACACTCGAATTATGTCCCACTATAAAAATAAAGCTGAATATTTCATCATGAGCTGACATTGGTTAGAGAACCGCCTTGTAACCACAAGGTCCTGGGTTCGAACCCTATCCGGTGGGTGCGTACTGCTGAAGAGTCCCAAACTAGTGACGAAACAGCTGTCCAGTATTCCCAGGTTTTCCAATAGTTCTCTAACCAATGTCAGCTCATGATGAAATCCTGTAACTAATCAACCAAATCCCTACAAACTAATACTTGAGTAAAGCTTAATATATTCCATGAATTCCATAAGTGAAATATCTGTGATCTCATGTGGAATATTTTCTTTTAAAAATTCAGGTCGGTAGAAATGTTGGGCTGTAGTTAAAGTTCCTCTGGCTTGCGAACATTTCTACAACAAGGTATAATTACTGTTTGGCGAAGCGTTTTTCATCTGACGTCGTTATTACCCTACGTTTAAAAATGCTGAAATGATATTATAGAGAATTTATAGCCTTTGAACTAGGAAAAGAGAAGTTTGATGATCTTAGAGGAGTCTATCAACTCGGTGCTCAAAATGTTAATAAGCGTTTCCCTCACGTTTTGAGTTGCCTTGACTGAAAATTCATAAAACAGCTTTCGCTATCTATATAATCTAAAGTCTAATTGTACTCATAAAGCGGATAGGAATCATGCAGCATCTCGAAGTTACTGTTTTTCTCAGAGAAGACGTGACAATTTGCATCAGTAAAAATAGGAGAGAATTCATTGCCTAGCCATTGTTGAGTCGGGTCCCAGTAGGCTGAATGGTCTACGAGCTCACTCATCTTGTAACCACAATGTCATGGGTTCGAATCCCTTTGGTGGGTGTGTACTGCCGATGAGTCCCAAACTCAGCTAAACGAAACATCTGGCTGTCCAGTACTCCAGTGTTGGTTTTCACTGGTTCTCCAAATGACAACAATCTGTGGTTAAATTTGAAAAAAACAGGTCAAATTCCTGCAAACCAGTTCTTAAAAATAAGCAAATATATTTTACCTGACAAACTTGTTCAGAAGTTGACTCGGATAAAATTTGAATATAGTTGTCAACGAAATACGAACCGATTAGCGAGCACTAATATTTGAGGGAAAAAGAAACGAAAAATTAGAAAAAATTAAAATATCAATAGGAACTGCTTGATGTGTTGGTGCTAGTTTCAATCTATAAATGTTTTTAAGGGTTAACCATACATGATTTGTGTTCAAGACTATCCATACTTGAACTTACAGCCTACAACATGCACATTTCAAAGAAGAATCAGTGGAGGGGAGTCCATGAATTTAGGCTATGTGTTTCTTAACGGTCTTAGCACAAGATGTATCATAAAACTTATGAGAAGTCAAATACGGTTCATCCGTTCCTTCAGTTATATTGTTATAACGTCATATCTTGTTCGCCCTGGATGAAAATCTTCGACCGGGTCAGCCTGGATTCAGGAGAAACAAGTCATGCATCGACCAAATTGCAACACTGTGGATCATGATTGAACAGAGCTTGGAATGACAGTCAGTTCTCTGCCTGATTCTACTTAATCGGCTTTGAAAACGCCTTTGACAATGTCGATCAAGAGGTGATTTGAAAACTAATTCGCTACTACGGGGTGCCGTCAACAACTAAACACCTCACTCAACAGTTGTACGACAATGCTGCATGCCAAGTGATCCACAACGAGAAACTCATAGAATTCTTCGAAATGAAGACCGGAGTAAGACAAGCTGGCTTGCTCTCTGCCTACTATCTCCAAAGGATAATTTCCTGATTTCTGTAGACTGGGGAATGCGACAGAAAGTGGGTAACGAGGGGATAGGCATAAAATGCACCCACACAAAACCTTGGAGGATCTGGACTTCGCCGACGATATATGTCTGATTTCCCACAAACTGCAAGATATGCCAGAAGAAGCATCAAAGCATCATCAGGTGAACATAGAGGAAACAGAGGTAGGTGATGAAGATTCCTGGCTAGCAGCAACAGCAGCAACCATAACAGACTGCAATCGGCATTATTGAGAGAAATCTGAAAGAAGCAACCTCCTTCACCTACTTACCTAACTACCTGGGAAGCACCGTTTCAACTACAGGCTATACCCTTTAACCATACTGCGTAATACTGCCCATAATATGACGGCCATGATGACATCATAGATATAAAGACTCAAGAGAAATGTCGATAAGATAAATGTATGTTTCTGCTTAAGCTGTTCAGAATAAATGTAGAAGTTTCCCTTTTGAACATAAAAAACATGTCTCCATTGAGATAATGTTTAAAACAGGTTAGTTATGAGACTACATCTACACACAGACAAAGTCTTGAATATTCGAATTAAAGAATAATAATAGTTTGTGTAGAATACAAGATGGTACCATCATTGTTTATTTCGTCGGCTTCTCATCCGAAAGAAGCAACCTCCTTCACCTACCTACCTACCTACCTGGGGAGTGTCATTTCAACTACAGGCGGATGGAACTGATGAGGATATCAAAGCAGCGAGGATCGGGAAAGCAAGGCAAGCTTTCATTATTCTCATCAAGTCTGTGTGGAGATTAACAACACCACTCAGCATGAAAAGTGAGATCCGGATTTTCACCTCCAGTGTGAGGTCAGTGCTACTAACTATTCGGATCAGAGACCTGGCACCTCGCCGTGTCACGAAGGACACTTCGAACAAACTACACACCTTCACCAACAGCTGTCTTCTCTCCATACCACTCAAGATCAGATGGCCGGCCAGAAAATATCGATAGCAGGGAGGGATCTCTGAGAGCTAACCAATCCAGCAGGAACCAATTGTGCAACAAATATGCAAGAAGAAGTGGAGGTGGATTGGCTATACTCTGAGGAAACCATCAAGTGAAATCACTAGTCCGGTCCCCGAGTGGAAGCGGCGAGTTCGTCTTAAGTGCGAGGGTGACGTGGAGCAGGAGGTGATGCGAAGAGAAGAGGAAATCATTTTGGTAGATGTGGAGCCAGGTGATGAAAACCGAACGCAATGGAGACGTGCGGCTGAAGCCTTATGTTCCTCTAGGAATTAAAGGAAACAATAATAATAATGATAAATATCTTGTTATCTGATTTGTCAGTAGATTTCACAAATGGTCAGGGATTCTTAACCAACACACTCCCCAGTTAGACTGAGTTAATAGTATAATTATTCATTCGCATAATCTAACAGACATTGATGAATTGTTTAAGTTTTCCACTTCAGAAAACGTTGACAAAAAGCTGAGTTGAACGATATTACACTTTTCAATTGATTTTTTTGAGTAGATTGTCTTTTTTTAACTTAAAAAATCAGTTATTCCACCTTCTGTTATCGGATCTGCTTTTTCACTGACAGCATTTAAACGCTGAATACTATACTAATCTTGACAGGTGGTGGTTGTTTTGCAATACATCTATAGACGAAAGTAATCGAGTCTTAAAGTGTAATGTTACCAGCACTTCTCAGTTTATTATAAGATTAACTGCATGTTTTTCATTTTCGTGAGGTTTTCATGACTGACTGGTTTCAACATAGATTTATCTTGATAAATTCTCACAATGTTGTTATACAGTAATATTTGCTACTGATGACCACGTTTAGAGCACAATTCATTACAAGTTGATCACTGATTGATATCAGTTAGAGAACCATTGAAAAGCAGCCATAGGGAGTACTGGACAGCTGCTGTTTCATCCTGGTTTGGGAATCACCGGCAGTACGCACCCACTGGGATTCGAACCCAGGACCTTCCAGTTACAAGGCAAGCAAGCTCGTATACCATTCAGCCACTGGTACCCGATTCAGTGGCCAGTGCATGAATTCTAAATTCTACCAATTCATGACTTAGCACCCTGATGGTGGGTGCGTACTGCCGACGATTCCCAAACTAGGATGAAACAGTAGCTGTCCAGTACTCCAGTGCTGTTTTTCAATGGTTCTCTAACTGATATCAATCCGTGATCAACTCGTGAAAACATAACTAACCCTTACAAACCAAACTATAGAAAAACAATTCATTACTACTCATAAACATATTAAGGCACTAATCACACAACTTTCCAACTTCGTTTAATATAATCCCACTATTTCTGATCTTTTGATTTGATTATTTTCCTTCACGTTCCCCAGTGGAACATAGAGCCTCAAGCCAGAGGCTTGAAGATTCTGTAGCAGTGTTTAATTTTTACAGGATGGGGTTGCTAGCCTCATGCCCAACCTTTCTTCTTTACCAGCATTATTTCTGGCTTAGCTAGGTGAAGGAGTGCGTCGGCCGGGGATCGAACCCCGAACCATGTGCATTGTCGCCCAGTGTCCTAACCGCTGTGCCACCGAGGCACTTAAATTTGATTGGTAGTAGTGTTTTCCATATTTCTGGTATGAGTGATGAGTCATTTCTGTCGCATATGTTGGGTGTAGACTTCATGAACGAAGATTCAGTAATCAACCTCTCTCTGTCTCCACCTACTTATTTCACTTTTTAGAATTTTAACCGTCTCCCACCCTCCTATTGTGTGGTTGCGCGTTGAAGCATCAATGCAGTGCAATTGCTGAGCTTCTTTTTTTCTAAATTACTTATCTTCTCGGGATCAATCATTCTAACCTTAGTTAAATTCTTCTGTTTTGGCAGGGAATCCTACTACTCCCGATCTACTGGCTTTACTCACCTATGTAGTTGACTTAACTCACAGTCATTGTAATGTATTTTATAAATTATATCACTTTGTCTAATTTGGTAAACCGACACTGTCCTTTCACCTAAAGAGCCTGGAAGCTGGAAACTTGTTTGAGTACTTTGATATAATTATGAGCAGTAATAAACTCTTCTGGAAACGTGGTCATGAGTAAATATTACTGTATAACAACACTGTGATACTTTATCAGAATAAATGTTATCCACAATGGAATTATACTCTACCACATTGCACAAGTTCTATTCTTATAGAGATATGAAATGTACTCACAAACTTACAGTTGACTACCACTAAACCTGCCAATAATTGGTGGACAGTTACATGTGGCACAATTTCAACATTTCTAGGATAAAATGTTTGCATAACTTTTGAGATTTGAGTAGAAATGCTCATGATTTAAAGCCATACATCAATAATAATAATGATATACTAAAAAAACGTGAAAAGGTTACTCAGAATATTTGAAGGCATGCTAAACGATGATTTATGGTAACTACACACGACGCTACACTTGCGCTATACACAAAATAGCACACTTGCCTGTGTTTGAAACATTCCTGTAAGCGCGCAAACCCTCTCAACAATCATATGAAGAATATTTTTTCCAGACTGAGATTCTGTCATCGTTTTCAAAAATGACACAACATTTTCGCATCCACTGCATACTGAAATGTTTAAATTAAGCGCACGAAACCAAAATTTAGAGGGATAATTAAAAACTATTAATATTTCATTTGTTCATTTAATAAATCGCTCAATTTACTAAAAACAAAATTATTTCATTCAATTACATTTGAGATGGTTGGAATTTTTAACAGACGTTTAGTATAATTTTTTAAAATGTTATTCAATGAACGAAATATTCCCATATTGAGTCATAAGAAAAAGGCACAAACAGCGAAGAAAATTTTCTTTTCGACGATTCATTTTCATGAGCTGTACAATCGTAATTATAATTAACAAACAAATCTTTAGACCAATCAGATACTGGTAAATTTTGTCCTTGGAAAATTGTATTACATAATGTAAGGTGTAATGTAGAAGGGATGACTAATTGTAAGTTAGAAAGGAGACAGAAGTTGGCATGACGTAATAAGTGTGAGATAATGAATAATCAATAAGCTCGTGTAGATTGGACATGAACTAGTGGAAAGGCTATCTGAAACCAAACCCCTGCATCCAAAAGCGATACATACATTCTCTTGCCTTACCATGGCCAGAGTAAAGTTCTTACCACAATTTTGCTTCTTTCCTTTATTATGTAAGTTCACTATTATTATTTTATTTTATTGATACTTTTATTATCATTATTATTCCCATCATCCACATTTTAATACCACTCTATTACTGTTTATTAATAACATTGCTTTTCATACATATTTTATACAAAAACACTTTATAGCCTTTCCACTAGTTCCTGTCCATTTTACACGAGATTATTGATTATTCATTATCTCACACTTATTACGTCATGCCAACTTCTGTCTCCTTTCTAACTTACAATTAGTCATCCCTTCTACATTACACCTTACATTATGTAATACAATTTTCCAAGGACAAAATTTACCAGTATCTGATTGGTCTAAAGATTTCTTTGTTAATTATAATTACGATTGTACAGCTCATGAAAATGAATCGTCGAAAAGAAAATTTTCTTCGCTGTTTGTGCCTTTTTCTTATAAAATGTTATTATAGTATCGTTATTATTCCCTTGGGTTCCGAGTGAAATATGGAGTTTCAACAACACATCTACACTTTGTTCTATTTTCTGCCGTCGTCTTCAGATGGCTGATCCCACGATTGCTCACAATCTTACTTCTCTTACTTTCCACACGATCTTCTCCATGTCACACTTGGACGAAGCAGTTATCGCTTCCCATTCGACGGTATCTCCAGTGTGTGCCCAATCCATCTCCATTTTCTCCAATATATATTTGTTGAGCAATAGGTTCTCGCCTGTTGGTTTTTTCCCAGACAGAGTTTCTTGTTACTAATTCTTTCTGGCCGAACTTCATTGATCTTCATTATGGAGTCAGCGAAGGAGGCAGCTGTTGATAAAAATCTGCAGTAGACTTTTGAAAATGGCTTTCCTGATGCATCCGTCAAGTTTCTGACCCGTATAGGAGAAGTGATTGACTCACTGACTTGACATTGGTGTTGAACAGAATCCGAATGTTGTTGTTTATGCTGAGGCAGAGTGCAGAAGATTTCCAAACTGGTTTCATTTTGATGAAAGCGTGTTTTGCCTTTCCGATTTTGACTGGATTTAATACCTTCATCGGTTCCGCTGACTTGTGGTTGAGACAATACTTCCTGGACGTAGAAGTGAAGGAATTAGCCTCTGTCAGATTTCTCCCGTTGATGTGATTGGTGCTGGTTTTTTTGTTTGTTGTTGCTGTAGTTGTTGGTTGATTATCTTCATCACCTCAGTCACCTCAATGTTTGCCTGCAGCCTACCTGTCTTCGCTGCCAGCCTCTTCGTCCAGTTTGTTGGCTTGCGCCTGCCTGTAAGTCTTCGAGATTGTGTGACATTAAACATATATCATCCACACGCGAAATCCATATTTTCTAGAGTCTTCTTATCGGTGGTCCAACGTATGCCTGTCTTCTCACTCCCAGCCTACAGTATGCCGCATTACCCAGTCCACCACAACTAGGAATATCATCCGTGATAATAGTCAAGAAGCCTTGTCCTACCTCTGTGTGCACTTCCAACGCCTCGCTGAGCTTCCCGTTGTGGATCACCTGACATGTGGCATTGTCATATAGCCAGCTGTTCAATGAGGTTGATAAAGACTTGGACACTGCACGTCTAAGCCCTTTTCGAAGTGGATGAAGTTGAGGTAGAGAGAGAGGTTTGACTACCATTCTATCCTTTGTTCTGTGATTATGGTGATGCGCACAGTTGCAATTTTATCAGCACATTAAAAAAATTTATTCTATATTCATTGATAATAACAGAATATCTTATACTTTGAGAACAAATTATTATTATTGTTCCCTTGGGTTCCTAGTGGAACATAGGGCTTCAACTGCACGTCTCCACTTGCTTCTGTCTTCTGCTGTACTTTTCACTTGCATCCATGTTAGTCCATACTGTTTCAACTCCTCTTCACACGATCTCCTCCATGTCACCCTTGGACGTCCCGCTCGCCGCTTCCCTTTCGCGTTCCACTCGAGGGCCTGACGCGTGATGTTACCCAGCGGCCTCCTCAGCGAGTGTCCAATCCATCTCCACTTTCTCCTGCATATTTGTTGAGCGATTGGTTCTTGTTTTGTTTCTTCCCATAGTTTCTTGTTGGTGGTTCTTTCCGGCCATCTGATCTTCAGTATAGAACGAAGACAGTTGTTGATAAGGGTCTGCAACAGGCTGTTGGAAATATTCTTTGTGACCCGCCAAGTTTCTGATCCGTATAGAAGAACTGACTTGACGTTTGTATTGAAAATCCGAATTTTGTTGTTGATGCTGAGTTGAGTGACGAAGATTTCCAGATTGGTTTCAGGTTGACGAATGTGTTTCTCGCCTTCCCGATTCTCGATTTGACATCCTCGTCCGTTCCTCCTGTAGTTGAGACAATGCTCCCTAGATAAGTGAATGAAGTAACCTCTTTCAAATCCCTCCCGTTGATGGTGATTGGCGCTGGATGTTGCTGCTGTTGTTGTTGTTGTTGGTTGGTTATTTTCATAACCTCCGTCTTGTCTATGTTCACCTGGAGTCCTGTCTTTGCTGCTTCTTCGACCAGTTTGTCGGTTTTCGCTTGTAAGTCTTCGATTTTGTGTGACATCAAACATAAATCATCCGCGAAATCCAGGTCTTCTAGGTTCTTCACGTCGGTCCAGGATATCCCTGTCTTCTCGTTTCCATGCACTGTCTGACGCATAATCCAGTCCACCACAATTAGGAATATCATTGGTGATAATAAGCACCCTTGTCTGACTCCTGTGTTTACTCCAAACGCTTCGCTGAGTTTTCCGTTGTGGATCACTTGACATGTGCCGTTGTCGTACAGCTGTTGAATAAGGTTGATGAATATTTGGGGTACGCCGTAGTACTCGAGTAGTTTCCAAATTACTTCGCGGTCAACGCTGTCGAAGGCCTTCTCAAAGTCTATAAAGTTGAGGTAGAGGTTTGATTGCCATTCCATGCTTTGTTCGATGATGATGATGCGTAGAGTTGCAATTTGGTCAGAACATGATTTGCCTTTCCTGAATCCAGCTTGTTCTGGTCGGAATTCTGCATCCAGTGCGTCCTTTTTGAGAACGAATGCTCTAAATCAAAATGTCACAGTGACAGATTCATCAACATAGTCTAATCAACAGCTTAGAATGAAGAGCCACCTTGATTGCTGTCATCCAGCAATCGATCACAGTAAATGTAGGTTACATGTGACCTGATTAAACCAGTTTATATTCAGCATTTTAAAAACATGAGATGTCACGTAAACTTCAGATAACCTCACGTACAAATAGTTTTATGCAACTGGAAACATTTAAAACGTGAAGACTTAATCTATCAATCTTTAATATTTTTTTTCAACGTAACGTAAATACCTCTATGAATGACATTTAACAAAATGGAATTTGCGAATATTCAGTATGTTTTTTTTCTCAAGGTTAAACGATATATCATAGCAAAAGTATGTAAACGTTATTAGCAAATGTATAAGGTGATTTGGTTGAAGAATCTATGTGTGTGTTACTCAATAATTAGGCGTAAAATCTTTTTCAAGTATTAGGTTTTGTAGGGATTTTGCTTGTTTGACTGATTGGTTGGAGGATTTCATCATGAGCTGACTGAAATCAGTTAGAGAACTATGGGGAAGCCAGTTGGGAGTACTGGACAGCCGGTTGTTTCGTCGGCCTAGTTTGGGACTCTTCATCAGTACGCCCCACTGACATGGTTTGAGCCCAGGACCTTCTGGTTACAAGGCTAGCGAGCTTGTAGACCACTAAACCACTGGGACCCAATCCAATGTCCAGCTAGCCCATGAATTCTAACTTCTGTAGGGAATCCCTACAAAACCAATACTTGTAAATTGGTCTGATGCTCAATGACTGGCCCTATTCAGATAAGTAGCCACTTGTGGTTCTAGTGGGAAGCTGTGACCAGTAGGGTACAGCAGGTTGAAGGTGAGGAAGTAGTCCTCATCGAAGAAGACATCGAGAAGTGGTCGCGCTATGTCATTAATTGGCAGAAGTTGGAATTCATGGGCTGGCTGGACATTGGATCGGGCCCCAATAGCTTAATGGTCTACGATCTCACTCACCTTGTAACCAGAAGGTGCTGGGTTCAAACTGGCTGTGGTGAGTGCGTACTGCTGAAGAGTCAGTCCCGAAATAGGACGACGGAAACAGCCGGCTGTCTGGCAGTACTCCTAGCTGGTTTTCCAATGGTTCTCTAACTGATCTCAGCTCATGATGAAATCATCAAATCAATAAAACCTTTTTGCTTAATTCATGCTTTAGTGATATATATAAAACTTACCGAAAGTTGAATTATCATCTTTCAAGTTAGCAGTATAAGATTGACACCAGTTCAGCATCTATCAAAGAAAAAAGTTGAATAAAGTAAATTCGGGTTTATCGCTCACAACTAGTTTTTAAAACTTAATTGAATTTTAGATTTTCCCGTCGATTGATTGGACCGAAGTGCTCGGTCTCAGGTTGACATGTCTGTTGGCTTCTTGTGCAGATGCTTCGACGATGTCTGGGCATTTAATTTGTATTTAATTGGTGGATGGTGACTAGCAGTGGAAGAATCCAGGATAACGCGCATTTCGTCCTATTTGGGACTCACCAGTCAGCTGGATGTACCTGCATTTCTCAGTGAGTGATGATGTTCCCACCGAGGCTCAAACCCAGTGCCCATAGTTCCAAACGCCAAAGCGTTATCCACTAGACCACTTGGGCCACGAGAGCCACTGTCTCTTGTGCAACGGGTCATATTAGTTATTCAATTGAATTTTAGATTTTCCCCTCGGTCCAATCAATCGAGGGGAATGTCTAATTTTGATTTTGACTATTGTTGTTATTATGTTTTAAATAGAAATTCCTTGAGAATTGACAAAACACATCTACACTCAAACACTTACTGATTTAAGATGTTTATGTCTTGATGTTTCAATAAAATTCTTTAAGAATCGTCTAGTTGGCCCAGTCATGTACATATTGCACTAAAAAGCATAAACGATTAAAGAAAACAAAAAAACAATTTGTTTGACATCAGTTTATTTCCCTATGATCTAAAAAAAAAACAAATTTTTAGGATTTCATCATGAGCTGATATTGGTTAGAGAACCATTGAGAAACCAGCTGTTTCGTCCTAGGAGTACAGCAGGTTGGATGTGACAACAAATACTCACCGAAGACATTGGCTAATGGTTGCGCTATCTGGTCATTGGATAAGCTCCTAGTGGCTTAATGGTCTATGAGCTCGCTAGCCTTGTAACCAGAAGGTCCTGGGTTCAAAAACAACCTGTCTGTGGGTGCGTGCTGATGAAGAGTCATTCCCATACTAGGCTGAAAGAAACAGTTGTCTGGCAGTGGTTCTCTAACCGATGTCAATTCACGGTGAAATCCTGAAAACAGTCAAATCAAATCTCTGTGAACCAACACCTGGAAATATTTTCTAGAGAGTAGATATTTTGATGAACAGAAAAAAGCAACGTTGAAGTGACCGTTTTTTTGAATAATAATTATAATTCTTCAAGGATAACCGCTAATTTCATTTTACTTAATCCTTCTCAATTTAAAGCTTTATTCACGAATTATCTACGTGATTTTTGTCAAATCTTTATGGAATTCCATGGATTAAAGTTTCAGCAGTGAATTAGATAGTCTTGTATTTTTATTTTTGATAACAACTTGATTCCACACCGAATTTTCGGTACAAGTATGGAATTTTCAGCATGTGATATCGGTAGCCCAAATTTTGCAGGCCGACCATTGATAACAGATGTGTGTCGGCAGGGGATCGAACCCCGGACCATGTGCATGGTTGGTGAGAGTCCTAACCACTGTGCATTTCCTTCGTGTTATATTTAAAAGAAATTTGACCTAACCAGTGTTTTACATATTATTAGCATTTATTTTATTCCTTTACGTTCCCAGTGGAACATAGGTCTTCAAGGTACAGCTCTGAATTCTCGATAGCAGTGGTGTTTATTTATTTTTACGGAGTGGGGTTGGTAGTCTCATGCCCAACCTTCCTTCTTTGCCAGTCTTATTATCGGCTTAGCGAGGTAGAGGAGTGAGTCGGCCGAAGATCGAACCCCAGACCATATGCGCGGTTGATGGGCATTCTAACGCCAAGCCACCGACGCACATAATTTTTACGTAATTTTCCCTTGAGATATATGTGAAATATATATGCAAATATCTGAGAAAGCCTTAGTCACCTAAAATACAAACGAAACTGGCTTTTTTGTATTCATGAGACCAGTGCTTAGATCTTTCTTTCTTTCTTTATTCAAGAGTATAAATTACAAGTCATTCTCAAAATGTCTTCTCAGTAAAGTAGAATCCCATGAAAGGCAATTAATCTTTGATTCTGTTATTAAAGGATAAGGGAAAGACGTAAACAAAGACGAAACTTTTTCCCTCGACGATTCATTTCCAAAATCTGCCGTACAATCGTAATTATAGCTAATAAAGAAATCATAAGACAACCGATCAGATACGGGTTGACAAAATTTGTCCTCGAAAAGCGTATTACGTAGTGTAAGGTGTAATCTAGAAGGTGGAACTAATTGGAAATTAGAAAAAGGGGAGCAGAAGTTGAGATGATGTAATAAGTGTGAGAAAATGGCTAACCATATTGGTTGATTGTGTAGAATGGACAGGAAGTAGTGGAAAGACGATAAAGTGTTTTTATAAAATCTATGAGAAAACGCAATGTTATTAATAAACGGTAATAGAGTGATAATAAAATAAGGATGACGAGAATAATAATAGTGAACTAACATAATAAAAAGAAGCAAAATTATAGTAAAAGCATTACTATGGTCACAGTAGGGCGAGTGATTGGATGTAGTGGTTTGGAATGTAGAGGTCCGGTTTCAGATCCTTTACAGCCAAAGATTCAGATGCGTAAAAATGGCGTAGGCAAAGTCCCTTTGTAAGATATTGAGGGACTCTGTGTAGCACTGTGAAGCATTCATGCGGCGGTGCTCGATGACAAATTTTTCCGCCTTTTTCTAACTTAGGATTAGTCACTCCCTCAAAGTTACACCTTGCATTACGTAACACACTTTTTCGAGGATAAATTTTACCAACCCTTATCTGATTGGTTGTCTTGTGGTTTCTTTGTTAAATATGATTACGATTGTACAGCAGCTTATGAAAATGAATCATCGAGGCAAAAATTTTCTTCACTGTTTAAGTCTTTTTCTTATTAAAGGATATCTAGAAAATATATTTGTACCTCATAGACGAAGGCACATAGAATCAAAAAATACTTTCTTATGGGCCTGTAGATTCATATATGTGTAAAACTTGGGCATTGTGGTAGTAAGTAATTCCATATTAGTTTTTTTATTAGATGTATCCTACAGTGAAACAGTATTAATTACTGAATGACGAAGTTTCGAACAAAATTTATTGTTCATAATCATTTCATATAATTCAAAATTTTGTTTCTTTGTCTCTCCTATTTGTCGTCGTTAAGGTAGTAGAATTTTCCAGATATCTAACTGGACAGGTGTTGAATCACTCCTATTACACGTATTCTCTTCAGTTGATTCGATAAACAAAGCTTCCGTTATCAATCTCTCCCTCCAACCTGTTAGGTATTAGATTTTAGAACTGTCAACTTATCCCATCCTATTGTATGGTTGTATGTAACTGCATGTAGTGCTAAAGCTGAACTATTCTCTAGATTTCTTATCTTATTCGGGTCAACTAATCTAGTTTTATTAGTCTGACTGCCCCTGTTCTACTACTTTGACCTATGTATTTGACCTGACAAGGAAGGAACCTCGGAAACCTTACGCAGAATTCTTAACAAGGCAGGGATAAAAGTGGCTGGCATTCAAACAAACAAACTCATTAGAAACAGGTTTTGTCGGATAAAGGATCCTGTGGAGCCTTTAAGACAAAACAATTTATTTTATCTAATACCCTATGGGAACGATTTTCAGGTCAAATACATACGTCAAAGTAGTAGAACAGGGTCAGTCAGACTAGCTGAACATAAAAACCTAGCAGCAAAATCTAGATTACTTGACCCAACATAAGATAAGAAATCTAGAGAATAGTTCAGCTATAGCACTACACCACATGCAATTACACACAACCATACAATAGGATGGGATAAGATGACAGTTTTAAAATCTAATGTAACAGGATGGAGGGAGAGATTGATAACAGAAGCTTTGTTTATCGAATCAACTGCAAATACGTGTAATAGGAATGTGTCCTAGATATCTGGAAAATTCTACTACCCCCACGATGACAAATAGGAGAGAACAAAGAAAACTATAAAACTCAAGTTTCGAAGTCGTGTGATTATAATTGATGAAATGGTTATGAACAATAAATTTTGTTCGAAATGTCATCCAGTAAATAATACTGTTTCTGTGACTGTGTGATACATCTAATAAACAAACTAATATGGCCTGTAGATTCACTCTGTTCACTAATTCTTGCAGTCAGCTTACTTAGGATACACTTTTATGATAATTACAGAAACTTACCCTATGTCTTTCATTCTTCTTTTCAAGATGTCCACATGTCACTGACAACACATATTTGACTATATTCTCTCTGAATTTATCTTGTTTCAAAATTCGTACACCTTCTTCATGAGTGTACTCCAAAGCTTGACAAGCTATGAATTAATTAGTGAGAATATAGTTTAAAGCAATTAGTTCCCTTTATGAATTTTGACAAAGCAATAAGAAGGAAGACGTAATTTGTCTAGATCGTCTGTTCTCACTATTAATGCGTTCTGGAGATTCACTTTGTTTCTGAAACCATTTAGGAATATGCTGTGAAGCCAGCCCTTACTTACAGAGATCGATGAGGCCTCCCTCCTTGTGTATGTGTGTGCACACGTACTTTCTAACTGGTAAATACAGAGTGGGATGTGACATCATTCTTCGAATGTTCTGAGAGCATAGATGGATGAATATACCGGCCTCAAATTCTCAATTATTCTGATCCTAGCTGCATAAAAAGTCTTTTTTTAACCGCAGCATTCAATCTTTTTCTATTTGGTTTAGCGATTTTTATTGTTATTTTGACCTTTAATATATCCTTTTAACTTGACCTAAGCAGTTTATTTTCTCACCTCCTAACTCTTTATTAATTTCATATATATATTCCTATGACAAGTCCATGTGTGATCAGATTGTTTGAAAGGACTAACAAATGGACGTTTATTATGACAGACCCAACTGTTAATAGTGAGACTCTCAAAAGATAATCTATCCGAATTTTGTGAGGAAGGCATTTCATGCAGATAGTCTGCAAGAGTATCCTTTAGGAAACGATCTACCAAACAAAACCTTAAATATACAATAACTGCTTCATGCTACCTCAGTATGTTTCCACCAGTCTAGTTGTTCATGTAAAGCGAAGTACACTGTTTGTACTTAATAATAAAGTCTGTAAAGGTTATTAGAAATATTGTATGATTGGGTAAATAGTAGCCTGTGGAGTCAGATACATTGGTCGTTCAATGCGTATCCTGTTCAAAAGGATTCAAGAACACTATCCCACAGCATGGCTAAAAAAGGGTAGGTAATATTGGCTGTGTAAGGAGTGCGATTACCGATCACCTTGTCAACACTGACCATTCCATCTCAACTAACGCCCCCTGCTTCAAAGTAATCTACAATGTGAAGAACAACCTACCAAAGGCGATACACATTCGTCTCCTTTGCGATTTACTGAAGCCTTAGTCATTCATTTGGAGAAGACAGAGTTATGTATACAAAAGAAAACCATTCAACCACTTCTACTACCATGGCAACAACCGTGCTGGTTTCTGCTCACTTGATGTTTGTGAGCATGCTCTCCTAACTCTTATATAATACCATATTTTCCTTCGTTTCTACGTACATCCTAATCAAAACTCACTCATTAAATTGTTCATCTGATTACGCAACCACAATACACTTATTCAATTTCTCTTATATAGTGACTAACATTGATAACTATGCTTTTTGACAACTCATCACCACTACCCCGTTACTAATCTTTATCCCCCCACCGTAGTTACAATATGATTATTCATCACTACCCTAGTTAATTTTTATTCTTCTCTGACAAAGTTAATGTATGCACAAATACAGAGATAATTATATATATAATTGCGACTGTGTACAACTAAGTGAATGAATTCATCGCTGAAAAGTGACTCTTTGCTGAACTACGTGAACTGGGATTATTCATGAATGTCTATTTGTTTCAGAAAGTAGCGCACAGGCAGCTTGTAGGGAGCGAAACGGCAATAAGGAGAGGAATAATTGGTGTGTCTTTAGGAAGAACACCTCAGTCTTCATGATAACTAGCTTTCAAAGCGGGGTGTGCTGTATCCAATACAATAAAAATGTGTCAAACTTTCAGCACGATACCCAAAAGGAATTTAGAAAACAGAAAGACTGAGCGAAGAAATATTTACTTTTCAATTAGATCCTCATCTCTGGCTCTACTCTAATATATGTAGCATTTTTATTACAATACGCAACAGTTTACCAATCAGGTGGCACTGATATGTTTGTTAACAATAATTAGTCAGTGTCAAAATGTCAATGGGTTGATAATTAACGGAGAAGATCAATACACATTTAAAAGATATATTCGTAGTTCTATTTTAGCACACCTTGTTGATACTGAGTATAAGGTTAATGTTAATACTGCATTCAAAATTTTTTTTCAAGTATTGGTTTTGTAGGGATTTTTTTTGTTTGATTGGTTGGAGGATTTCATCATGAGCTGACATCAGTTAGAGAACCGACTAATCTTAATTTTGCTCTACGAGTTCATCTTCTACAGACAGCTGAAGCAATCGGAATCCACCTTAAGAAGCCAAGCCTATGTGTTCAGAAGAAATTTGTACAGCCACTTTCCTTACCGTGGCCATCTCAAGGAGAATGCATAAACAGGACTACGTCGCCCTCCTCCCCCTAAACCTTTAAAAGCTATAAAAATTATAATTGTCCAAATTATTTTATTTTTATTTATTTTGACCACTCCATCTTTAATTACGTTTTATCCTCATAAAATTTATTTATTCTAACCATTTCCACCTTTTAAATGTGTATTGATTTTCTTCATTAATTATCAACCCACTGACATTTTGACACTGACTAATTATTGTTAACAAAACATATCAGTGCCACTTGTTTGGCAAACTGTTGTGTATTGTAATAAAAATGCTATTTATAAATTAGAGTAGAGTCAGAGATGAGGATCCAGTTGAAAAGTAAATATTTCTTCGCTCAGTCTTTCTGTTTTCTAAATGCCACAAGGAATTGCAGGTACGTAGGGTACTTTACAGGTGCCACTCGAAACTGAGTACTCCACAACAACAGATGGTGTGATACAAATACGTTAGGCATGAGTTGACTATCGAAACTAAGCTCACTGTGACGGAACAACCGTATGTAAGTGCGCCCCCCACTGACTGACTCCTGCCTAAAAATTCGTCATTCCGTATATGACTACACTAACCTTATCTGGACTTAGAACTATAAGTGCCCCGTAGGAGCCTTCAGCAATTATTAAACGTGGACTGAACATGTAGTAAACAAGTTTGCCAGGAAGTCCATCCAAACTGTTTAGATAAGAGCATACAAAAACCCCTTAGATTCTTTGGACACAGTAATCACACCAAATTTTTCGCACAAAGTTCGTCCACTCTACCTACAAGGACGCAGTGTTTTCGTGCCTAAAGGTTGTTCCCAACCAATATGATACTTACAAAGACTCTGTAGAAGTTGTTTCAGGCAAACATACAGGAGCAATTAACTCCAGAGGGTCAGACAATGACGAGACAGTGGACGGCAATCCTTTCATGGTGAGAGATTTTTCAGTTGGGTGGAAACAAAATTGAAAAAAACATTCTTCGTCGCGTCCTACTCAACCCTCAGAGCACTGTGGTTGAACTCTTGATAGAAAGTCATATAATTTATTATTTTATTACCTCACCTGGTAACATCCTAAGCACCAACTACCTGTAGTAGTGAGATATATCTGTTAGTAGTGAGCTTATATTTTTATTATTATTATTATCTTAGGTGTAACCCTTAAACTTCTAAACACAAGTATATTTTAATTTACTGATGTCGTTAGTAGGTAGGATAAACGAAAAAGTATAACATCCATTAAGCCTAAAGTACTCATAATACCAACAAAAATAATAATAATGATATAATCACTTACCCAAATTTTTGATGTCATGATCCAACTGAAATATAAAAATTAAACAGAGACTTAAGTAAGAATTTTCCTTGTAACATTATTCATAAATATAAGAAAATTATCATGAAAAGATGAATCCAGTATTCTCTGGTGTACATGTTTAATTTGTGTGACTTCCACACCATTATCTCTTAGCTGTGACTTTCTATCAGAACTTACCTACTTACTGGAGATTATATACAGAAATTTTCACACAAGAACATAAAATCAGAAAAGGAATTATTTTTAAGGTGTGTGGTGTGATACGGAATCGTATGGCGGTCTGCTTGAATCACCGGCCTACCTGAATTCCTATTCAGTGATGTCTGTGGGTCACTAAATGTAGGCATACACACATTTTTCAGTTGGTTTGCAACCTTATTGTTGCTCAAATTCTGGAGGACCAAAGATTTAACATTACTGTGTCATGGGATGTACTAGAGATGGCTGTTTTGCTTCGGAACTCCTGGATGATTAGAAAAAATTTATGCATATTGTGTAAACTTATTGGGCTATTATTATTATTATTATTATCATTATTAATTCAGTTATGTATGAAATTCATACTGGAGGGCAAATACATGTGTAAATACAAGTTATACCTATTGATATAATTTCACCCCAACATTATGTAACAAATTTATGAGCCTGTACAGACTAATTACTCGCTTAACTGTCGTGATAACTTCATTCTGCACCTAGAACTCAAGCCACTGACAAAACAAAGATTATTAATAACGCCTTCAGTAACTAGATTGTTGATATTTGAGCAAAAGAATTTTAGAACAACTCAATATTTGTAAAAATTATATTTGTAAAATCTCAACGAAATTGAAATGAGTGATTCCAACGTTTCCCCCGTTCGGCAAGCTGGTCCGAACTTCTTCAAGGAAATTAATCGAAATTAACATAACAGAGGTGTAGATAATATAAAACAAAGGACAACTCTTGTTTTAAAAACACTAACACCTTACGCTCATCACTGGTGAAGGTTAAGGATAAAATAGAAGAAGCGAAACCAACATAATTGTGTGTACCAAATCAATTGTGGGAACTGTGACGGCGTATATGTAGCAGAAACTTCCAGACAGGTAAATATAAGAGTGAAAGAGCATAAACAATGTCTAAAGGTGGTTCCAAAGACCTCTGCAGACTTAAAGAAGCTAGAAAACAGATCAGCGACTGCACTATATGCGAAAGAAACGGGACACAAAATCACCTTTGATAGAACTAATGTTCTACAGAAAGATTTTGGGTCGTATAAAGAAAGATTGATTGCGAAAGCCCTACATATATGGGTGAATCTCAAAAGTTTGAACAGGCATGAAGGTGTGATCTTGTTAGCTGATACATGGCAAATCCTGATCAATAAATAAAAAATGGATATGTATCACTAATTAATCATAATTGGTCTAAAATTCCCGATTGTCTATATCTTCTTATGGAGAGGCTAACACCATTATACACCGCATATATATATGTATATATATATATATATATCGTATTCAATTATCTACGACCATGAACTTTAGTCGAAAGTGATTACTAGAACTCTGATGAAAAGTACACTCTATAGGTTTCCAGGCCGTAGGTGTTACGAACTTCCTGGAATAATTTGAGCGCCTAGTTAGATTGATTCATTCAGCAGATTTCTGCTGAAGAAGCTGTGGCTTACACAGCGAAACATTCAGAAAAATCTTGTTTTGATTTCCTTAACACGCTGGGATTAAATTAAATAATTTATAATGAAAAGTACACTCTGTTTAAAATGTTTGACAAAAGTAGACTAATATATTTGTAAGTCCGAGGTCAAATTTTGAACACAGCTCATACAATTTTGTTTGTTTATTATACATGTTGATACCCATTTCATGACTCATATGATCGGACAATGTTTTTAAAAAAGCAAGAGATGTCCTTTTATACATAAACCTCTGTTATGATGTTAATTTCGATTAATTTCCCTGAAGAAGTTCGGATCAGTTTACCCAAACTTAGAAAACGTTGGAATCACTCATTTCAATTTCGCTGAGATTTTACAAATATAATTTTTACAAATGTCTACTTATCACTCGGCGCTCAATTATTTTTCTAACTATTCGGTCAAATCTTGATCACAGTTCGCATGGACTCAATATATTTTGATCATAAAACTGTTCCTTTGGTTATTTGGATGATTTCAGAAGATTACAGAAACATACAAAACATTCAGAAAACATTAGATCTTCAAGAATATTAAAAAAACCTCACTACGGCGCCGCACCACTGACGCACATGGTCTGGGGTTCAATCCCCGACCAGAGACACATTCCTCTGCTACCTCGTTAAGCCAGAAATAAAAAAACCTGGTAAAGAGGAAAGGTTGGAGGGGGGCATGAAGCCGGCAGCAACCCTATTCTGCAAAAATAAATAAACACCACTGCTACCGGAACTTTAAGCCTCTAGCTTGAAGCCCTCCTTATGTTCCACTGGGAGGAACATGAAGGAATAAAAAAAGCAAAAAAGAAACAACAAGAACAAAAACGTTTCAGTTACCTGTGAATGTCTGGTGGATGTTACGAATTCTAGAAAAATTTAAAAATTTATTATTAAAGTTATTAGATAAACAATAAATATAACTAATCCTACCGAGTGCAAATACAGCGACTAGAAGGTAAGTGAACATCTTCACTCTTTTCTTTGTAATATGTGTACTTGACGTGTGTAGTAGAAAGCGAATAAACCTTAGGAATTCAGTGATTTTTATACCTCACTACTACTACTATTCATTGAAGAAAAAAACAACAACAACACAAAAACAACGGCATTATAAGATTAAAAGATGGTAACATTTTCAATTTAATTTGAGAGCAATATCAAACGAACAAAGTCCACTTAGGTGTTTTAATGAGACAATAGGTATGTAACTAACTGTGGGTTGCACTTTTGAAACTTTATCATACATAATAAGTAGTATTTTTTTTAATTTTTAGATATTAATCAGAATTATATAACTTAACAGTAATTTAGTTTATTCCACTTTACACACACACCATGATATATATTTTTATTTTCAGCGCACAATTAAAAATAAAATGAGCACACTTTAATTGTGAATAAAAATTTTTGCTCTTAAAACAAAATAATAATTATAAGAATTAACAAAATACACAAGATTGTTAGAGAAAAACAGAGTGTTGTATAAAGTCCAAAATGTTGAATAATAATAATAATTTTGATGCATAGAGATGATTAATAACTTGTGAAACAATGTTCACAATTCATTTTCAATGGCATGATAATGTACTATGCTAAAATTTTTAAAATTGTTTATATTCATCAAAACGAGGTGATGTTTTTTAGACTCTAATCGATTTGATAGAAGTTAGAATATCCATGGGTTGGTTATTGAGGAGTTGGGTTCCAGTGGTTGAATGATCTATATATAAGCTTGCTAGCCTTGTAACCGGAAGGTCATGGGTTCGAAACCTGTCAGTGGGTCGATGACTTCGATGACTCCCACACTTACTGCAAGTCAAACAGTGTTGGGCTGTTAACTGGTTACATTCCTCTATCTCAGAAAGAAAGAAAGCAGTACACTGTGTATAAAAGGAAGTCTTCCACTTCATTGCCTACTGAAGCTGGTGTCCCTCAAGGCGCCGTTCTTTCTTCTTACATGACTTGCCTCACTCTGATGAAATAAACTTTGTGAAGTACGCTGATGATTTAACAGTTTCATTGGCTGTTAACTCCTAGCTAGACTGTACCAAAATAAATAGCTTTCTGTTGGCAGTCAGTAAATGGTTTGAGTCTAATGGTCTTAAACTGAACCTTTCTAAATGTCAAACTGTTAATTTCAGCTTAAGATATAAAAGGCAGTTGAAAGAAATTGCTGTTTCTCATGACAAATGTAAGATTGATGACAATGATATAGGAATTAAATCAGAAATTAAGTATCTTGGACTTATTCTCTCTTCCGATCTCTCCTGGTCTTCACATGTCTTAGCGATCTCCAGTAAAATATTCCGCTTGACATTTTACATTAAGAAGTTAAGGCACTGGGGTATAACCCAACCCCTCCTCTTAAAGTTCATAAACTCTTGCATCCTACCTATTCTTCTTTATTGTTCACTCTTATTCTTTCCTGGTTTGCTTAAAAACGACTGTGTCACAATTCGTAGAATGCTGAAGACTGTCAGTAGGATGAGTGGTGTCCCAGTGGACTACATAGTTAACGTCGTTGTCGATAGGCACTTGACTTCGTGCAATAAATTTGCTAAAGCGATTTTGCCTGACTTGGAGCATCCACTTTACCCTCAGCTTTCACCTTGCATCTCATCAGGTAGAACAAGAAGTAACTTCAGAAAACTGTATGCTCGCACGTCTAAGTATAAAAATTCTATGATACCATACTTGGTACGTATTTTATGTGGTGAAAATAGTGTCAGGCGAGAATTGACTAACCTTTTTTCATCTAGTAAATAAACAATCTCCTCCATCCATCCTTATATACCTTAAAGTTTTACTTTTATTATTTCTATTATATTTATGGTCCTGTTGCTTCTTTGTTTTTACTTTCATAATTGCAAGCACCAACTTATCTCTATGACTGCTGTAATCTTTGTTTTTCCCCTCACCATATCATGTAAAGAGAACATTATATTCAATATTTTTAAACATGCTAGGGCTTCTATACCGCATTGACAATACTGTGTGAAACAAGTCGACGGCAATTTTCACTTGTATTATTATTATTATCATTATTACCTTAGTTGTTATCAATATTATTATTTCCATTTTATATGCTGCATGTTTTTTGACATTACCCCTGTTGTAAATGTGGAAAATTTTCTGTATCATTAATTTTATTTATAATTTGAGGAAATTATGTGCAGTATTGTGATTCATGCTGAAAATTCCATTCTGTATCACAAGTACTGTTTTTGGAATAAAGTAAATCATTATTATTATTAGATATTAGGCTGACGAAACAGCTGGCTAGTCTAGTACACTCCAATGCTGGTTTTCAATGGTTCTCTAACTGATATCAATTCATGGTTTAACCTGAAGCAAACAGAATCCCTACAAACTAATTGTTGACAACTTATCTGATGCTCACTTGTGACTGGCTTCAGGATGAAGTTGCCCGGAGTTCTATTGAGAAGTTGTTACCAATGGGGTCTATCTGGTCAGGAGTGAGGATGGATTTGTCACCGATGATATCGGTTGGTGCCAGTAGTGCTAAAATCATGAATTGGTAAAAGTTAGAATTCATGGACTGACCACTGAGGAGTCGGGTCCCAGTGGCTGAATAGTCGACGAGCTTGCCTTGTTTTTGGAGGGTTCTGGATTCGAAACCCAGCGGGGGGTACGTACTACCGATGAGTCCCAAACTAGGATAAAACAGCTGACTGTTTAGTACTACTTTCTGGTTTTCAATGATTCTCTAACTGATATCAATCCGTGGTCTAACCTGAAACAGGAAGAATCCTTACAAGCTAATTCTTGAAAATATAATCGATATACCTGCTGACCAGATTTTAAATAATCACGACTAGTTTACATTATTTTGTCAAAATAATTTGTGAGAAATTTAGGATAACTAATTCATTAAAGGTTTGGCGACTTGGAAATTTTGCCTTTCTTCATACTGCCGCCAATAATTGCTGCAGATTTGACAAGTGAAGGGGTGATGTTCAGTCAAAGTAAACAATATTTGAGTAGAGGAAGAACAAACATTTGGTGCACAATAACACAGAGCCATTTTATTTCATCGGCTCTCATCAGCTGCATACAACTTATAATCTTTAATAAATAGAAGCCAGTGTAAAATTTGAATATACTTTTGACATCAACAAGCATATTATAAGAGTATCATGGTGAGGTAAAACATCAGGATGACAAGGTAGCTAAAGTGCTGTGGTGTATATATATATCTTCTTCGAGAGAATTTTCTAGAAAAATAATTGACAACTTTGTTGTTACGATGGTAACAGAGATCTGTACCAGCTGCATAGTTAGATAAGAGAAGATAGAAATTTGGTGTGCAAAATGTCAGGCGAAAAGATGACGATGTATTTTAGGGAGCAGAACTCGTAAGGTCAAGAAAAAAATTATCTCTTGTGGAAGTCAAATAGAAAAAACGAGAGAACGGTGGGCGTTCAAAAGATAAATTAATGAACCTGGGAGTACTGAACAGCCAGCCGTTTCGTCAGCCTAGTTTGGAACTCTTCATCAGTGCACACCCACGACAGCCATTTCGAACCCACGACCTTCTCGTTACAAGGCGAGTTAGCTTGTAGACCGTTAATCCACTAGGACCCGATCCAATGACAACTTCTGCCGATTCATGACATAGCGTGACCACTTCGATGAGTTACTGCCTCACCTTCAACCTGCTGCACTCCACTGGTCACGGCTTCTCACTAGAATCCCAGGTCACTGCCTGAATAGTCCCAAACTAGGACGAAACAGCCGGCTTTCCAGTATTACCAGGTGATTTTCCAATTGTTCTCTAAATGATGTCAGCTCATGATGAAATCCTCCAACCAATCAAACAAAACCCCTACAAAACCAATTCTTGAAAATAATTTAGTGAAGTTAGAAGACCGCGAGTTATTAACAGATGAGTCACCAAGGTACTTAGAGTCCATCAACAGATTTCAACTGGACAAATAGGTCAGGTTTCAAACGTTTTATTGCGATGGCCTCAACAAACAAAAGAAGACTTGAGGTATTTTTTCTGTGAATTATTTTGAATGATCCCAGCAAGTCTATACGGTGTTCAGTATCTGTTGGGTGTTTGGTAACCGAACAGCTTAAACTACTTAACCTTTTTAACCGGAAGCTTCGTGGTGCATATTCTAAGAATTTGACGTGGACCCTTCTTTCTGTTGCAGTTAACATATGAGGGGTACTTGTCCATCTTTGACTGCACCAACAATGAAAATGTTCAGAGCAGAGAGGCTAGTTTTGCTGCGGGATACATCCTGAACAGTCTGATAGAAACTGGTTTCTTGATGACTGTAGCTGTATCAGGTTTCTTACGTTCATTCTTACAAAGTTTGTCAAATGAAACTTTGTGGATGATCATTTTCTTTCAGGTAATTCTCAAGCAGCATTAGTTTGCTGTTTAATTTATCAGGTGAAAATAATCTTTTCACTCTGGAGAAAAGTGTTAGCGTTCACCAGCGTTCGTTTGTAACTGACTAGGCAGAAGCTGTTGAAGTTTAACTAGTGACCGCTCCATGCGTTTCAACGATATATCGATCTCTCCGGTGTGTCCCATCCGATATTCTCTCCAACATTCCTGATAATTGTCCAGTTAATCGACAAGCCACAGAGAAATTCGAGGTTCTCAATAGTAGGCAGGTGAAAATCGATAATTCTTTCTTAAGATTATGTACTTTTAATCTCTGAAACGAAGTTACATGGACATAAAAACTGTAGTGTAGAGGTCACTGAAAGCTGATTTAATGATGAAACATTTGCATTAGTCTTTATTCCCACAAAATCCAACAAAACGATGCTGAGAAGAATGCCTATCAATCAATACTTAGAAGTTTTACTTCGTCTATAAGCTGTATCTTTCTAGACATGCTTCAAACAACACAGCTAATGTTTTTGAATCAACTTAAGAGATCTACAAATCAGTGCATGTGTGTCTGTGTAGTTTTCGAATTACTCAGAGCATTTACTACTTTTTTTTGATAGAATTTATACCTGATTAAAAATGCCCATTAAAATTTTCAAAAGAATGGATACTGAACAAAGAGTACTCTTTTCGATAACTTCATCATCAGGCTCTACA